AGTATTGCTTTTGATAGTACGAGATTACCCATATATTCTTAACAAAAATGCATGATGTTTGCTCTGTGCAGGGCGATTGACAAGACGGTTCCAGGATTCCCCAGGCCATTGCTGAATCTAAGTTCATCTACATTTGCTACTTTTATGAACGACGCATTTGGGATAGCATTGGATCCTCCTTTTGATCCTTATGCAGATGACATCAACTATCTTCTCGCATCCTACGTTCTTCCTTACGTTGGCCTCACCGGATATGTCGGGACAAATCCAAAACTCCTAAGCCCTACAGCTAGAGGGGTACGTCTAACTTAAATCATTATTTAACCACCACGACTAAAAGCCTAAACTTTTTGAAAAGAAAGCATATTTTTGTATTATAAAATGTCATTAGCATGTCTCCTAATGGAGCTCAATTTCATTTGTCATCATATATGTAACACGTGCACAATTTTTATAAATCGATGGCACGAGACCATGATCTTCGTATCAGTTTTCAATCAAAGACCCGACTTATGCACAATTTTTATAAACAAGTGACGATTAGTGGTGCGTCTTGAACTCTTTGGCTCTAACATTTTGTTTGTATGTATGGTCAGCTCGTGGCAGGGCTTTTGGGCGTGGAAGCGGGGCAAGATGCGGTTATAAGAGCTCTCCTTTATGAGCGAGCATTGGTAAAGGTATTACCCTATGGATTCACGGTGGCCGAATTTACTGATAAAATATCGGACCTACGAAATGAGCTGGGAAAAGCGGGACTGAAAGATGAAGGACTAATAGTTCCTCCCGCACTAGGCGCCGAGGGTAAAATTTCAGGGAACGTGCTCGCTGGCGACGAATTCTCTTTGTCATATGGTCGAACACCAGAGGAAATACTTAGAATCGTGTATGCAAGTGGAAAAGAGAATAAGCCTGGAGGATTTTACCCCAAAGGAGCTGGCGGAAAAATAGCCAAATCTTATTTGGAATGATGTGGTGAAATAAAAAGGGTAGCTTGGACCTTCACTGTCTACATGTATAATAAATAATTCAATAAACTTCTA